GGTCCAGGCTTTGAAACCTAAGCTCTCTCTCTGTCACTGCCACAGATGCCCAAAGCTCCAGCAGGCCCAGGGCCACAGGGCCACGCCATGTGCCCTGACCCAGGTGCCCTCTGCACCCGGCACTGGGCTATCACTGCCCACTGTGGACCACGTGAGGGTTGAAGCTAGAGACCTCAGTGGCCTCTCTCCTGAGTYAGCCTGGAGCATGGGGAAGCCAGGGAGAAGTCTGGCCATGCCTGAGAGTGGTGTCCACGCACCCCTGRTGACGGGAGCTGGCTGGACCCCACCGTCCAGCAGAACGCTCCACTCCTCTCCCCACGGCAGCCTGCTGGGGACACACACTCCCCAAAATGCTGGACACCCATCAGGGTAGTGGATGCTGCCCATGGGCTGAGCAGAGCCGGGGTTGCCAAGGCCACGGCCCCTCTGCCAGGCACAGAGCAGAGAGGCCCACGCTGGGCAGGGAATGCTGTCCTGAGCAGGCCCATCGCCCCCAGGTCAGCGTGGTGTCCATCCAGAGCCACGTCCAAACACAGTGGGGCGTGCTGACTGGGGTGGCCCCTGCCCTCAGCAAAACTCTTGTCTGAAGGTTCCAGGGGCTGGCAGTGGACCACACTGGCCAGTTACCCACCTGTGAGGACTCCGGGCCTTTTGTGGACGATGGGGATGGGCTTACTCTGGCCACCCATCTTCTAGGACTATTACTCTCTGCCTCTGGTCTCCCTCGTAGCATTGCAGGTGGGGACACCCCAGGGCACTCCTGCAGGGCTGCTCTTGTGACCAGGGCTGACCCAGAGGCTAGACAGATRTTTGGGAGCAACTTGGCCTCATAGCCCAGTTGTTTGAGAAAAAGCTCCAACAATGACCAAGTCTTATGAATTTTCCAGGGTTTAGAGGTGCCCACAAAGCCACATGTCAAAGCCACACATCTTTAGCATACGTCCACATGGCCAGTCCCTAGCCCACGTCCACAGCACCTCTACACGACACATGACACTAGGCGTCTACACCACACGTCTACACCACGTCTYTGGCACTTGCCTTCTTAATGTCTGATCGTGGTGCAGAGGGGTCAGCAGATCCCAGAGAGACCTGCAGCTCTGGGAGCCCAGGGGCTGGAGGGACATGGAGGAACCTCCAGTGGGGAAGGAGCTGGCCTAGAGGGGGCTGTGGGCACAGCAGGAGGGGCAATGCCAGAGGAGCCTGCTTTCCCCGMGACCACTCCACCCAGGGAGCCAGGACAGCTGGCCCTGGTCCTTCTCTCCCACTTCCTTCCCAGGGAACACCATGCCAGGGCCCAGGGCCCAGTGCCCAGGKTGTGCTGTGGGCCCTCCAAGAGGCCAGAGTCAGTGCCCTCAGCCTGGCCCCARAGCCACCTTCCTGCCTTGCTCTCAGGCCCATCCCCGAGTGCCTGGCCTTCCCTGGACATTCCCCTCAGTGGGCTTGGCCTGAGTGAGCAAAGGACCCTTGACACACAGCTGCCCAGGGCCCCAGGTCTTCTAGGTCCATGGGGCTCCCCGTGCTGTGTGCCACTGGACATTGCTCTCTGCTGGCACCTTGGATTTGGAGAGAGGAGCCCAGGGCCCTGACCTAGGTCGGAGCAGCGAGGTGKGTACGTGGTCAGGATCGGTAGGCTGGGAGGGTCTGCTCCGTGTCTGTCCTGGGGACACAGGGTAAGAGCCAGTGGGAGGGAGGGAGGGACTTCCCTGAAGGAGTCTGCATTTAAAAAGGATGTTCTGGGGCACAGTGGCCACACGCACAGTCCCAGCCTCCTCAGGAGGCTGAGGCAGGAGAATCACAAGTTTGAGACCAGTGTGGACAACCAGCAAGACAGTCTCATAAAATAAAATAAAAAGATCTCGGGATGCAGCTCAGTGGAAGAATGCCCCTGGGTTCAGTCCCCAGTAACAAAGATAAAGGAAAGAAAAACAGGGAGGGAGGGGGGGAGGGGTGGAGGGAGGGAGGGAGGGAGGGAGGGAGGGAGGGAAGGCAGGAGGAGAGGAGGAGCTGCCAGGCTGCACACTGCTCAAGGTGGGAGGAGGGAGCACCCACACTGGACCCTTGGCTGGCTTGGAGGTGAGGCCTCAGCTGTGGGTGGGTGGGCTTATGGACCCAGCCCAGGCCCCCCCCCACCCTCCTCCCTTGGTGTCTCCCCAGCAGCAGGCCCAGAGCCCCGCCCCCGGGCTGCGTGGACAATGGTTGCCTTGGCTGGATTGTGACCTATGCACAGGTTCCTGGAAAGGCCCTGGCAGGCGGGGCCACTTGGTGGGAAAGTAGGCGCAGTGGAGGATGGAGGTCCCCCAGGCTCTGTGGGTGACCTGCTAGCCCGGCTGGGAGGTGCCCCCAGGAACAGTGGGATCCCAGGAGCTTCCTTCTGGAAAGCCTGCTGTGACTCAAAGAGGCCCCCAGGGTTCTGTCTTTATTTTGGTGACGCCCAGAGGAGAATGCTGCAGACATGTTTAACCCACACATATTAGAGTCTCCAGCTGTTATTTTCGACAATGGATCTGGGCTCTGCAAAGCAGGGCTGTCAGGGGAGATCGGACCCCGCCACGTCATCAGCTCCATCGTGGGGCACCCCAAATTCAAGACGCCCCATCCGGGAGCCAATCAGAAGAAGTACTTTGTGGGGGAGGAGGCCCTGTACAAGCACGAGACCCTGCATCTGCGCTCTCCCATCGAGCGGGGCCTGATCACGGGCTGGGACGACATGGAGAAGCTCTGGAGGCACCTCTTCGAGTGGGAGCTGGGCGTGAAGCCCAGTGACCAGCCCGTGCTCATGACGGAGCCCTCCCTGAACCCCAGGGAGAACCGGGAGAAGATGGCCGAGGTGATGTTCGAGAGCTTCAGCGTGCCCGCCTTCTACCTGTCTGACCAGGCGGTGTTGGCGCTCTACGCCTCGGCCTGTGTCACGGGCCTCGTGGTGGACAGYGGGGATGGGGTCACCTGCACCGTGCCCATCTTTGAGGGCTACTCCCTGCCCCACGCGGTCACCAAGCTCTACGTAGCAGGCAGGGACGTCACGGAGCTCCTCACCCGGCTCCTCCTGGCCAGCGGGCGGACCTTCCCGTGCCTGCTGGACAAGGCCCTGGTGGATGACATCAAGGAGAAGCTGTGCTACGTGGCCCTGGAGCCTGAGAAGGAGCTCTGCCGGCGGCCAGAGGAGGTCCTGAGAGAGTACAAGCTGCCAGACGGGAATGTCATCTACATCGGGGACCAGCTGTACCAGGCCCCYGAGGCCTTGTTCTCCCCCGAGCAGCTGGGCACCCAAAACCCGGGGCTGGCGAAGATGGCCTCCAGCAGCATCACCAAGTGTGACGGGGACATCCAGAAGACACTGTTTGGGGAGATCGTGCTGTCGGGAGGCACCACGCTCTTCCAGGGGCTGGACGACCGGCTGCTGCGGGAGCTGGAGCAGCTGGCCTCCAAAGGCACCCCCATCAAGATCACGGCGCCCCCCGACCGCTGGTTCTCCACCTGGATCGGGGCCTCCATCGTCACTTCCCTGAGCAGCTTCAAGCAGATGTGGGTCACCTCYGCGGACTTCAAGGAGTTTGGCACATCCGTGGTCCAGAGAAGATGCTTCTGAGGGAAGGGCCTTGCGCCTGGGCTGCCGGTGGGTGGCACTGGCAAGGCCCTCCTGGGAAGTGAGCTGACCTGCCGCCSGAGCAGGGTGTCCAATAAATGACAGAATGTGGAGTGTTCGGCGGTGTGAGTGCCTCGCTCCTTCTCAGCAGCGACAGAGTCTCTTCTGACCTGGGCAGCGGGGCTGTCAAGGGGGTCTGTCCACATCCCCTCCCTGCCGCCCGAGAAAGCCGGGGGCTGGGGGTCGAGGCTRGACACACCTGCAGGTGGTCCTGAATTTCCGGCCGAGCCTGATTCAGTGGTTTTGAACCAGGGTCTGGGAGATGGGGCAGGGGGAAAGGGASAGGCAGGACGCTGCCCTGCCTGAGCCCTCACCTGGGTGGGCCCTGTGTGATTGATGGCCTGTGGAGAGACAGCCCTAAACTTATGGCATTTCTGCCCCCTGCTGTGCCATCTGCCAAGGTGTGCCATCTGCCAGGCTGTGTCCCTTTTAGCTGTCTGGCCTGATAAACGCAGAGCCAGGGCCCAGGGCGCTGTCGCCCACTCTGCGTGGTGATTGTACCTTTTCGGTTTGTTTTTACTTTCAGGGATATTTGTAGCATCCTGGTTTGGGGGCAGAAGAGTGGGGACAAAGCTGACAGCAACGGTTGAATAACTTAGGCACCAGGGGAAAATTTCCACGTGGACTTGGTGAAATTCTCCCAAGATGTTATTGAGAAGAGAAATGGAGAACTCAGAGGCGTTCTTCAAATATGTTCTATATTCTCCTCTTTTCTTTTGGTTTTTAATAAAAGGCACTCTCCCAGGCTCATGTGGACGGAGCACATGGGTATGTGCCTGGTGGTGCACCAGGCTGGCGGGAGGYGGGGGTGGTACTGGGAGCAGGAAGAGGCAGAGCGAAGGGAAAACGAACGGGACTTTGTTCAAGAAACGCARCAAGAATGGAAAAACCCACTTTGTCTACAAGGGGCGTTTGCCCGCGTGGAACGTCCAGGTTTGTACACCATCTCCCTGTCCACCTATGTGGTATTTGAGCGGAGCCTTTGGTGGATTGGAAGGCAGAACGAAGTTGGGTGATTTTTTTTTGGATCCAGTCTTGATCTCTGCCTTTTACCTGGTGTGTTTAGACAGCCTACAGTTAACTGAAATGTCCCAGATGTCCCCTTCCCTGTTAGGGCTTGGCTTGTCCCTGTCTCATTCCWGCTTCCCACTTTGCTGGGGGTTGGGAACATTTCTCATTAGTCGATGCTGATCCACTGCTGGGGTTTTTAGTGTTTTTCTTGGTGTAGGTGTTGGGGGAGTGCCCTAGGTGTCTTAGTATGCATACCTGTATGTGTGTGAACATATGGGCTCACCGTCTGCAGGTAGTGACATTTTATCACTTGGAGTAATGTGTAAACTCCCACCTCTGCCTAGGATGCTTTGGCCTCCCCACTTTTAAAATACCATCGTCTCGTCTTCTGTGTACACTGAGCACAGCCTCAGAGCTGTTAGAATTTTTTTCTCAATCACTAAACGCWATTAAAGAAGCTCATGAGAGGCGTCTACAGTATTTCCCTCTATCTGACCCACCTGGTGCTCTCCTTTCCTCTYGGAAGTCCCAAGCCATCTTCTGCGGTTATCTCCTCCGTGTTCAGAGAACTTGGCTAGCAGCAAATTCCCGAGTTCTCCTGGTCTCCGCCCTGGAGGGCACCCTGGCCAAGGCTGACTTTGCAATCCACCCTTTCCTTTAGCGCTTGAAAAACCTCAGAGGAACTGTCCTGCTGGCCTGTGTGGTTCCGGATAAAACACCCTCTGTCGCTCAATGGGTGTCCCCTGAGGGAATATGTCATTTTCCTCTCTGCTTTCTAGTKTTTCACATCTTTCCATTTCAGAGGTTTAAATATGATGGGGGTTTCTTTGAGGTTATTCCACTASCATCTTCTACCTCACCAGGGCTGGGTGGGGCTGGAGGCTCGGCTCCCACTGGGACCCACGGACACAGGTGCGGCTGAAGGACAGCTGACCAGCCCTGGCCCCGCCACCCTGTTCAGTCTCACCCCGTGGGTGGGGTGGGTTATGGTGGATGTTTGTTCCACTTTCCGTGGAGCGACATGGCTTTCCCTTGGCCCTCAGGTTGAGCAGGGAGGGTGGGCAGAAAGGGGGTCTTTATTCTTAGCCACACTTGGTGGGAATGGCTTTTCTTGGCACTTTGATGGTCTGCAGCTGTGGGAGATCTTGAGGGAGAGGCTTCTGAGCACTGTATAAAAACTGCAAGGAAACCCAGGGAACCCAGGCTCCGGGTCCCCGGGCAGCTCCCGCCGTCCTGCCCCCTTTCAGTCTTCCTCTGCTGCGTTACGTCCAGGGCTTTCTGGTGGTAAGAGGGAGAACTTGGGACTGGGATAATGTCTTGTTTCTCTCTGCAGTTCCTGAAGGTTGCAAGGGCTCAGAGAGGCCTGTCAATCCCTCCTATCAGGACCACCCACTTTTATGGTAGCTGGGGCTTCCCAAGGCTCACGGGTGAGTTCAGAGTTCCAGATCAGGGCTCTGTCCCCCTCCTACACTCCTTTATCCTTCTCTGCCTGAGACTGTGCCCATATTACTGAATCACACTGCAAATACATGGTGCCTAAAACAACTCTTTTTTTTCCAAGCTACTCTGCTCCTCTTATGCTGGCCACTGCTCTTGCTTCAGTTGCTATGGGTGATGGTGGTGGTGGTGATGGTGATGGTGATGGTGGTGGTGGTGATGGTGGTGATGGTGGTGGTGGTG